TTTTTATATATATATATTAAAAAAAAATTTGTTGTACTCTATTGTTATTGTGAGTACTAGCAGTATTGTGTAAATAGACCTTCCTCACATTTTAATGTACTATAGTTTGAGTCTCTTCAGCAACACATTATGATTGTTTTGTGTATTCATTATTGTATTAAAAAGTGTGTATATGTTACAGGTTTGTCACGTCTCAGAGGGACCCGCTCAAGGATCCAGTCGTGCTGTGGCTGAATGGAGGGCCAGGCTGCAGCTCTTTGGATGGGTTTCTATCAGAGAATGGCCCCTTTCATGTATGTTGATAGTTGTCTTTATTAAAAAAAAAAAGGAATAACAAGTGTTTACAATGCATTGCTGGTTTAATCTTAAAGAGCCAAGACCAAAAGAGATTAGAGAGTGAAAAACATTCATGTAATTTCAGTCATTGAAGTTCTAAATTGCTTTTCTGTACAACACAAAAGCATAAATATCTCAATAAACATTGTGTTTGATCTGTGTGTCCTTAGGTCAATGATAATGGAGCCACACTTTATGAGAACGAATTCAGCTGGAATAAAATCGCCAATGTTCTTTATCTTGAATCGCCTGCTGGAGTGGGTTATTCCTATTCAGATGACCAAAAATATCAAACAGATGATGATGAGGTAAGTGTCTAAACATTCGTAGACATTCATAGCCTATAAAGACAGACTTTTTAAAGCCTTAATGTGTATTTTCTTTAGGTGGCAAATAACAACTACCTGGCATTGCAAAGTTTTTTCATCAAGTTCCCAAATTTCACCCAGAATGAGTTTTTCATTTTTGGTGAGAGTTATGGAGGCATTTACGCACCAACACTCAGTCTGAGAGTTGCCACTGGAGGTCAACTTAAAGTGAACTTTAAGGTAGGTTTATTATGCTCATTTCATTTTAAAAGTGTAATTTATTAAAATGTAGTGTATAAAATGTAACTTATGTTGTGTACTTGTTTACTAACATTTGAAGATCTGTTGTATCTCTTATATGTTTGCAGGGCTTTGCTGTGGGAAATGGCATTAGTAGCTTTGCACTAAATGACCAATCACTAATCTACTTTGGCAACTATCATGGCCTGTTTGGAGAACAG